AATAAATAAAAAAATTAGCCAGGCGTGGTAGCACACGTCTGTAGTTCCAGCTACTTGGAAGGCTGGGGCGGAAGGATCACCGGAGCCCAGCAGGTCGAGGCTACCGTGACCGGGAGCGGCCACTGTACTCCAGTCTGGGCGACAGAGTGAGACTCCAACTCAAAAAAAAAAAAATTTCCAGGTTATATTTTCATTTTGCAATAGATTAACTTTTCTATGTTAAAAGTAAAGTAACACTGTCTACATACACTTGGCAAATGGTTCTATATATTTTATAAAATACAGTAGTATTTTACTTTCTATCAATTAAACACACATGAGGACTATAAGTAGTAACAAATTACTCAAATCCCCAGAAATAACTGCTGTTAACATTTTGGTTATTTTCCTTCTTTTTTGTCATTCCCAGGCATGTATACTTTTTTTTACCTACTTGGAATTACAGTGTGCATATGATTTGTATGTTCTGCTTAAAAAAACAAAACAAAACCTGTAACATGAATGATTGAGCAAGAAAAACAATCAACAAATGGGTTAATAAGTACTATTAAAGATACGATTTTTTTTTTTTTTGAGTTGGAGTCTCACTCTGTCACCCAGACTGGAGTGCAGCGGCCACTCCCGGCCACCGCAGCCTCCACCTGCTGGGCTCTGGTGATCCTTCCGCTCAACCTTCCAAGCAGCTGGAGCTACAGGTGTGTGCTACCACACCCGGCTAATTTTTAAAAATTTTATTGTAGAGACGAGGTCTCGCCAAGTTGTCCAGGCGGGTCTCGAACCCGTGGTCTCAGGCAATCCACTCAGCTCAACCTCCCAAAGCACTGGGATTACAGGCTGAGCCACCGAGCCCGCTAAAGATACTATTAAATGGGTTTATAATACTATTTAAAGAGCTCTACTAAGCTTTGGGAGAAAAAAATGTCAGAAATCCAAATAGAAAAATAATGAGGCATGAACTGGATTTTTCACAGGAGAAACAAAAGTGCTTAATTCCTATTGTTTTATTTTACTTTATAATATAAATTTTATTTTATAAAATAAAGTAAAATATAGACAGGGTCTCACTCTGTTGCCCAGGTCGGATTGTAGTGGCATACTCATGGCTCACTATAGCCTCAACCTCCTGGACTCCAGTAATCCTCCCACCTCTGCCTCCTGAGTAGCTAAGACTACAGGAATGTCCCACCACACCCAGCTAATTTTTTTATTTTTTGGCAAGATCCTCCCATGTCGGCCTCCCAAAGTGTTGGGATTACAAGCATGAGCCACTTTGCCTGGCCAAAAAATGGTAATTAACCATGAAAGATAATTAGGCTCATTATTTAAAATATTGCAAATTAAAGCAAAGGATATCATTTCTCTTGATTATATTAGCAAGTTTTTTTTTAAATCATCCTATTACTTGTTGAAGAGATTAAATGTAAATTGTCATAAATATTCTAGAAAGCAGTTGGTCATACATATGAGGAACTCTATATTTGTTTATCAATTGTATTTTTTCCTTTGTGAATATCTTACATCTTTTCTTGAGTGGCCTTAATTTTTTCTTTATTTAATTATATCAACCATTTTCTTTTTTTTTTTTAATTATAAAGATGTGGGTTACAATTCAGGATTAGGCATACAAACGTTGATTATGCAGATACCCTTGTTGATGAGGTGTGCTCCTCCCTCTCCTAGCAGTTTCCCTCAACAGCCAATCCCACCCCCTCTGCCCTGACAGTTTCCCACTACTGGACCATTTTCAATAACAAAGATAACTCTGTTCAATTACGAGAACCTTTTTCACAATCTTGCTTTCCTTATTTTTTTTTAGGTGTCCAAGTGTTTTATATTTTTTTATGCAGTTAGTTTTACTGATCTGTTCCTTTGTGATCCAGTTATGGATCTAGCCATGTGTGTATTTTTTTTGTGTGTGCATTTTTAAAAAGTATACTTCTCTATCTAAAATTTATTCTGATTCTTAGCTTGAGAGTCTCTCTCTTTTTCCTATTCCCAGCGTTGTTAGTGGTTATTCTGACATCAGTTGATGAATTCTTCCCTTTCTCAATTTATTTGTGATGTCTTCTTTCACATGTATTAAATTATGACCTATTATTTATGGATTATATTTTCTGGGCTAGCTACTTTTTTTGCTATGATCCATTCTTCCTTTTGCTCTGTCTTAATTATTGTGGCCTTATATTATTGGTTATAACCTCACCTTCTTTTTTAGAGGGTCTTTTGCCCTAGTTAATCTTAAAACCATTTAATCAAGTTAAAAAATATTTGGGGATTTGGGTAAGAATCACATTAAACAATATATAAATTAATTCTTTTTAAAAAAACCTACATCTTTTTAATATTTTGACTTGTCAGCAATGAACATGCTATATGTCTTCACGTACAAATCTATTTTTAAAAATACCTTTGCACTTTTTTGCTTTTCTTCATCTTGGTCAGATACACTTTCCATTATGATTATCTCTAATATTTTATATTGCTATTGATGCTTGGAATAGGATCCCAAACTATATTTTATTGTTGGCATATAGGAATATTATTGACTTTTGCATATTTATTTTGATGAGCCACCTCACTTAGTTCTTTTTTTTTTAGAGACAAGGTCTTGCTCTGTCTCCCAGTCTGGAGTGCAGTGGCATGATCATGGCTCATCGCAGCCTCAACCTCCTGGGCTCAAGTGATTCTCCTGCCTCGGCATCCAGAGTAGCTGGGACTATTTGTGTGTGCCACCATGCCTGACTGATTTTTTAATTTTTTGCAGAGACAGGATCTTGCTACATTGCCCAGGCTGGTTTCCAACTCCTGAGCTCAAGCAATCTTCCCATCACTGAGCTCTTTTTAATTAATGTATTTTGCTGGATGACTGCTTCAGACTTCTGAGGTTGTGTAGTAATTTTGTATGCACATACGAATCATTTAGTCTGTTTTCAGTGCCTGTGCTTTCTATTTCATTGGCCAGAACTTTCTTTTTTTTTTGAGTTAGAGTCTCAATCTTGTTGCCCAGGCTGGAGTGCAGTGGCACGCTCACGGCCCCCACAGCCTCGACCTTCTGGGCTTAGGTGATCCTTCCGCCTCAGCCTTCCAAGTAGCTGGAACTACAGACGCACGCCACTACGCCTGGCCAGGCCAGAACTTTCAAGACTATATTCAGGGATACTGGTGATGAAAGGCATCCTTATTATGCCCTCTGTTTTAAAGGAGAAACTTCTTCCATTCCCTTGATGTTGCTACTGGCATGTGTGATGAGGTCTGTCTGCTCCTACCCAGAAAGGCTGGGGTCATTCGTGACAACCCGAACCAAAAGTCCTTTCCAGCCCTTTGTGCATCTGGCACAGTGCACCCAGGAATAGTTTGAAAGGATTGCTCTTTCTGGAATCCCCAGCTTGCCGCAAACTCTGAGCCCGTAATGCTGGTTCACTTCCAACTCAGCCCTTAATCTTCTTCTGCTGAAAGCCTGACTTCTGGGAGTTTGTTCCTCCCTGTGAAGACTTGGCATTCTCTCCTGCTGACCCCACCTGCTGGCATAAGAGCTGGTGCTTGACATTGGACAGCAGCAGGCCAGAGTCACCAGGTGCAGCCCTGGACTGGATGAAGCATTCACGACACTCCTTATCAGGCTGCTGGCAGAGGAGCCCTGTGGACCCTGAGTCTTCTTTGCCCTTTTCCTACCTGTCCTCTTTCTTTTCCCAAGTCACCTCAGTGAGGTCATTGGACCCCCTGCCTTGCTCCTGAGCCTGCTGGACTATTTCTGGCACTGTGCTCTGGGGGTCTTCCCAGTCTGCTGGGAAAACAGACACAGAAAGGGTTTAATACAATACAGGGTAAAGTGGTCTCATGCTGCTGGGAAAACTAAACGTTTGGGATAGTCAAAGAAGGCTTCATGGAGGAGGTGACATTTGATCTGGGTCTGAGAGCAAGAGTAGAAAAATCCTAGTGCTTTGGGAGACTGAGGCAGGAGAATCTCTTTAAGCCAGGATATGTATTTTCTCTTTCTTTCTTTTTCTTTCTTTCTTTCTCTTTCTTTCTTTCTTTCTTTCTTTCTTTCTTTCTTTCTTTCTTTCTTTCTTTCTTTCTTTCTCTTTCTTTCTTTCCTTCCTTCCTTTCTTTTTCTTTCTTTCTCTTTCTTTCTTTCTTTCTTTCTTTCTTTTCTTTCTTTCTCTTTCTTTCTTTCCTTCCTTCCTTCCTTCCTCCCTCCCTCCCTCCCTTTCTCTTTTTAACTCAGAGTCTTACTTGGTCACCCAGGCTGGAGTGCAGTGGCACAATCACACTGGAGCTTCAATGTCCTGGACTTAGATGATCCTTCTGCCTCAACCTTCTGAGTAGCTGAGCCACAGGTGCCTGCCATGATGCCTGGCTAATTTAAAAAAAATTTTTTTTGTAGAGATGAGAGCTCACTATGTTGCCCAGGTGGCATATATTTTCATTCCTCTTAGGTAAATACCTAGGAGTGGTGTTGCTGGGTCATAGGATAACTCTGTGTTGAGCCATCTGAGGAACTGCCAGTCTGTTCTGCACAACAGTTTCCTAGCTGCTGCTTGTATGAGACTTGCTTCAGTGTGACAGGACTAGCAAGGAGGTCAAACCACAAACTCTGTGCAAATTGGCTGTTTTCAAAGAATTGAACTATTTTGAAGTACTCTTAAGACTGCATCTTCACTATTGAGTCTTTGATGATTCCAAAAAGGCTCGTGGATTCTATATAGGGTCTCTAGGACAGTGCTGTGAATGCTAGTTACCATCATGACGGCAGACATAGTTCTAGCCTAGTAGGCTGTAGAAATAGAAGGTGCTAGAATAAATCCTAAGGTTCAGGGCAAGAGAGGGACAGGTGTACATTAATCGTGATGAGGAAGGCTCCTGGAAGAGGGAAGGGTCTGAAGCCTGATCCAGGGGAAACAGGCATGAGGGGGGTTTGGGGTTAGGGCCCATGTGGGTCTAGGGTGAGCACCTGGGCAGTGGTGGATGATAACTCTGATCTCTTTGTCCTTTGGCTGCAGACCTGGCTGAGTGTAAGCTGGTCTCCTTCCCCATTGGCATCTACAAGGTCCTGCGGAATGTCTCTGACCAGATCCACCTCATCACCCTGGCTAACAACGAGCTCAAGTCCCTCACCAGCAAGTTCATGACCACGTTCAGTCAGCTCAGAGGTAGGCCCTGGCCAGCTCTGGCTGGAAGGGGATGGCAAACCCTCAACCTTCAGGCTCTGACCCTGCCTGGGGAGTGTTGCCAGAGCCAGTACCCAGTCAGCCAGACTCATGAAGTCATTCCCAGGGTAGACTTTGAAGGTGGACCTGTGTCCTCACTGAAGCTTGGAGATCTCTAGGTCACTTCTGCCTGTGGCTGACTGCGAGTCAGATTGATCAAGGGTCAAGGATGTGAGTCCTGGAGTGACTCTCTTGCTGTGAATAGACCAGTGGGGGCATTTGGGTCTGGAGGTCCAGGAGTCTTTTATTTCTCCATAGCCTTGAATGAGCCCCCTTCTCACCCTCCAATCTAGCAGGGTTCTCCTATGCTGCTTTCTCAGCTCAGGAGTGACAGATGCCAGAGATGTTGGCCTTTTCTCTGTGGGGCACACACGGAGCACATGAACACAAGTGCTTGGGAGGGAGATGGCAGGAGGCCAGCAGGCGGGTCTTGTAGATGTTCTTGACATGGGTCCTCTGAATGGACGAGTGGTGTGCCCTGACCCCCTTTTCCAGAGAGCAGTCCCTCTAACCTTCTCAAGAGGTCACTGGTGCTCAGCAACCTGTGGGCTGGGTCTACAGCCTATGTTCCTGTTATATGTTTGCAAGATAGTGGGGCAGGAGAATTGCGGAGGACACAGGAAGTCTAGAAGAGGTGGTTCCTGCCTTCTAGAACTCTTTATGTGATAGGGACATGAAAGGGTCTGAGGTCCTGTTTAGAGAAACAAATACATAAGATGGTGACAGTGCATGAAGGACTTGAGTAAGCCTATCTCATAGAGCTGACTTTAGGCTGGGCTGGCTTCCTGGAGGAGGTGTGGGCATTGGGAAGGCCAGGAGGGAGAGGTCGCATGAATTGGTAAACCCAGTCCGGGGACAATAGCTCAGGAGGAAGCTACCAGCAGGACCTGGAAAGGCTATCATGCAAACGGAAGGACAAGGAGGAGGGATTTGTCTGTGTAGCCGTTTCTGAGTGCAGCTCTCAGAGCTCATCCCATTTGTGCTTGAAGAGCTAAAGTACCCATGGCTGGGGTGAGGAGACTTCTAGGGTGAGGCTTGTTTCCCCATAGGGCCTGTGAGTACTTTTATCCTGGCTTCTCCTACCTTCCCTACCCAGTGACTGCTTCTTTATGCAAGTGAGATGGGTCCTCACAGTCAGCAGGTCTTGTCCCTGGGTGAAATTAGAATCATCTGAGAAGCTTTTCTGCAAACACCATTGCCTTGATTCCACCCTAATACCAGTTGAATCAAAATGCCTGGTTGTGGGCCTGGGCCTAGACGTTTGTTAATACTTACATGGGACATTCTAAAGTGCCAGCAGCCAATGTTGAGAACCGTAGCTCAGAGGTTACAAATACAAATACCTAAGTAATGTAAGTAATGAGTAGCTCAGACTGGGTATGATAACAGTGTGTGGTGGAGATGGTAGCAAACTAGCATATTCCCTACCCAGATTCAGCCAAGTGTGCCATGAGGGGAAATGGACCAACGTTGTCCACTTTAATGATTAGTTAATAGATTCTGGAAATAGGGATTTTTTTTTTTTGAGTTGGAGTCTCAGTCTGTCACCCAGGCTTGAGGGCAGTAGCACACTGCCGGCCACCGCAGCCTCAACCTGCTGGGCCCTGGCGATCCTTCTGCCTCAGCCTTCCAAGTAGCTGGAACTACAGGTGCGTGCTACCACGCTTGGCTAATTTTTTTTTTTTTTTGGATTTATTGTACAGATGAGGTCTTGTCAAGTTGCCCAGGTGGGTCTCGAACCCACGGGCTCAGGCAATCCACTCACCTCGGCCTCCCAAAGCATGGGATTACAGGCTGAGCCACCGAGCCCAGCCGGGAAATAGGGATTTTTTTATGTGAATTTTTCCAAGTTGTATATAATGTGAATGCCAGTAAGACATATTTTCAACCTATATTCAGCCCATGGGCCACCCATTGAGAGAACCTCCTGAAAAATATCAGCACCACCTCTACCATCTCATTTCATGGATGGAAAAGGAAAGTCAAGGAGGAAAGAGACTCAACCAGGGTCTTAGCACAGCATATCCGGGACTGGAACCTAGGTTGCCCACCTTGTGACCCAGGGCTGCCTTCCCAGGCCACCTACGTAAGCCCAAGAGTCCTCTAGTGCTATATCCTGCTGACTGGGATTGAATGCTGGCTTTCCAGAGGAGGATAGAATGGTTGGAAATGGATGGCAGGGTTGTCTGGGGCCAGGAAGGGCAAAGTCAGGCAGGGGGCCTCCTTTGAGTAAGAGGAGTGTTCATTTGTGGTTTCCTTCATCAGACCTTCCCTTGAGCACCCGGCGTCGTCCAGCCCTGTGTCCGGAGGCAGAGAAACAAAGCAGGTTGGTCAGCCAGAGTCTCTCTCTGAAGAAGGCCAGGGTTGCGGGACAGATTGTCCTCACTACTGAGTGCTGTGACACTGGCATGGACAAAATGCTGGAAGGGACTGCTGGGAAGAGGAATTAATCCTTCATGAGACTGGTGTGGGCAGGGATTGGGTATGAAAACAAGAGCTTTCAAAGCACTTGACATTTAGGGAGCATCTTGTGGGACGAGTAAGGGGGCATGGAGAAGAGTGCCAGAGAAATGCCACTTAGAGCCTGTGCATCCGTCCTCATCCTCAGGCTGCTGCCGAAGTGTATTTACTTAGCCCCCTCTGGTCAGAAGGCTGTTGAAAGATGCTGTTTGAATTCCTTCCTTGCTGCCGGCAGCTCTTGACTCCCCCATGCCGCCTCAGATTACAAAGGGAAGGCCAGCGTGCCTGCTAATTGGATTTCAGAGGCAGGGATTGAGGGATATGGTGGCCAGGGAGGGACTGGAGATGGCTGTGAGCCCCAGCCTTTGTTGTGGTTTTGCTTTCAAATAGAAAAACCCTCTTCTTTTGTGTGTGATGAGGAGACTTAAGCAGGCTCTGTTGGGCTCTGAAAGACCTGCTGTGTCCTCTTCTGAGTACTTGACGAAGCTGCTGCCTGGGTGTAGGGGAGAGAACCATCTGCTTACTCCTTTCTTGCCATGCTGTCACCATCTGCCACGGGGACTCTCCTCTCTGAGGCTCGAGGGCCCCTCATGGGTAGGGAGGTGATCTTTAAGTGATTCTGGCCCCCTGATGCCCTTCATCTACTTTATGGAAGAAAAAGTGAGACTTGAGAAAGCCAAGGGCCCACATGGAGTTAGTGTTCAATGACAGTGGAGAGCGGGTTCCAGTGTCCAGCAGTGGCTCTTCTGTCCCTTCTTCTGTCCCCCTAATTCCTTCCTAGTCACTCAGTAACTTTTACTGAGTGCGTTCTGGGCCTGCCAGGCCAAAGGTATGTGAGGCACAACCATGGAAGTCATTGAAGGGCATTCAAATGAGAAAAACAAAGGTGGTAGGTTCTGAGCCTGCTATGTGGCAAAGGAGTCAGCCACCATCACTTGTGTTTTGGCAGAGACTCAAAGCCAGGCCATGGAATGGGGACGCTTTATAGTGGGAAAGAGGGAAGATGGGGGGGTACTCTCTGCTGGGTGGTGTTGGCACAGGGAAGTAATCATGCCAACCCCAGAAGCATGACTGGTGAATGGGGCACATTGGGCTTTCTCTGGTTGGTCCTCAGCTGAAAGTGGAGACAGAAATTAGGGAAGTTGTCGGTTATGAACTGAGTCCTGGCCATTTGGGGCCAGTTGGTAGGGAGTGATGGCTTGGCTTCCGGGATTATTGCTAGAGCTCATCCAGGAAGTCTGACTCCCTGCAAGTCTGACGTACAGCGGGCTGGCATCCTGGGCAGGCTACCGTAGAGAAGGGGGTGATTTCCTGGGCAAGTTGCTGCAGGTTGCAGGTCAGAGTTCCGTCTTGGTATTTGGTCTGGTCGTTGTCTGGGCGTACATTCAGTCTCTCATACTCATGCCTTTCACCTCAACTCAGCAGATCCTCACACACATCTGTTCTGGCTCGGCTGTGGGGAGTAGGTGAGTAGTAACACGAGGGTCCAAGTTCACTTGGTGCTTGACTCTCCCAGCTCCACGCTGAGTGTTCTATGTGCATCACATCATTGAATCCTGGTGGCACCTGTATCATTTGGGAATTATAAGAAAACTAAGAGTTGGACGTGGCCCTTGGAGGAGGCACTTGTCTCACAGGGGAGATAGGCGTATGAGCAGATACCTTATCATGATGTGAGGGGTAGTGCAGCAGACATTTGCCCATCTTCTGTGGATGCCCAGGAGGCGAAAGTCAATTCTGCTTTGGGTGAGTAGCAGGGATTTGACAGATGAGTAGGAGTTTGCCAGATAAATAAGAGGGTGTTTCTGAAGGATCTTTCAGGAAGATGAAAGATGTGTTTGGGAAATGACTAGAAAAATGGTACAAGACTGAGTGTTATACAGCAAAGAGATACGATGTGTTGGAGGGGGCTGGCTGGAGGGAGCCATCTGCCTAAGCGGGATCATTTGGGAAGTGTCCTGGGAGAATGGGATGGGACAGGCCCCATGGAAAAGGCTGAGAGAAATGTCCCAGCCAGGAGAGGCAGTGTGGGACCAGGTGTGAGGCTGGGAAGGTGTGGGAGGGGGCAGGGCCTCGAAGGCCTAGTCCTGAGAGAGGTTGTGAGATATCCTTCTTCCCTCCAAGGTGGATGAGCCCCTTCCTCATAATAGCTTCAGCCTGGGGAGCAAGGAGGTTGTGGCTGGGCTGCTGCAGGGCACAGGGACTGTGATTGGCCAACCACTGCTTCGTGTGGGCGTGGGTAGGCAGGGGGTCTTAGGATGCTCTGGTCACCCAATGGGGTTGCTTGTGGAGACCGGCTGCCCCAAAGGCCCTGCAGCTGGAGAAAATATGACCCCACAGAGCTGTACCCATCAATGCTGAGCCCCAGAGGGCTCTTAAGTAGGCACTGAGTGGGGGAGAGCATCCACCCAGACCCTGGGGCAGTGTGGAGTTAAGATACTCCCTTGGGCTTGTGGCTGTTTTCTCTGATTTTTCAGTAGCAA